TGGTTCTTGACCTTGAAGAGGGACTCACAATCGTCGTCGGTGCGGCGTCGCGACGGTTCACGATTGGAGAGTTGGAGTTGAAATGAAAGGGGAAGATACAGTCACGGTCGGTCCGTTCGCTAGCCTCAGGGTCTGCCATGGCGACATGCTAGCGATAGTGAATGGTTTTTTTATCGATCGAGCAAGGCGATGGCGACAGACCAGCGATAGTGAATGGTGCGACATTTGGTAAGAGTTGCTGAGTTTAGAGCGCGACAATTCATTCCCAACACCTCATCCTCTATTTATAGGATTTCTTGGACTTCCATTAGGCATCACATACCGTATTTTTGCATTAATAATTACATAAAAAAAAAAAAATCTTGCAAATCACTTCTAAATTCATTCAAAACCGTTTTCTTCTTTGTAGAGAGAAACTCAGTCGAAAGTTCGTCGTAATTTGTGATTTGAAGTGCTTCTACCATAAGTTGAATCCGTTGTATTTTGGAAAACGAGTGTCGTGAATCGTGAACACCGTTGCGAGACAATTTTATCTTGAAGAAATAGTGAAAATTACTTGCCTCAGATTGTTGTCTTCTTCTTCTTTATTTCTTGGATGCGCTTTGTTTTCATACTACATTTCCAATCACCTTGTTATGTTGTTTAGTTACGCTCCTGCGGATTAAACTTTATTTTTTGTTTATATTTTTTAGTTACGCTCTCGCGGATTAAATTTTATTTTTTGTTTGTTCGATATACAACAACCCTTTCACCCGCACTTATATTTAGTTCGCATCGTTAACAAATAGTAATAAACAGGATATCACTAAAAACAAGTAAATCATACACGTAGTTATAGTGGTTTGCCATCGCGTAAATGTTATGTTTACTGATAAACGTAGAAGAGATTACAAATTTTTCTTACGCCTCACTTTTGTCAAAAATACGGTTAGTCCTAAAATATTTTGGGAAAAACTACATGCATGAAATACCTAATGCAACCATGAAACCAAAATGTATTTAAATAAATTTGTCTTTCATTTATTATAATTAGCTCTATTCGATCTAATGTCGTCTTCTTTTGCTACTATATATACCTAGCAAATACAAGGCTAAAGAAAGATTTACTAATATGGTCCACATATGAAGAGAATGTACACATTTCAAAGCTATTTTGGGGGCTCCAATTTGATAACATGTCTTGTTCTCTTGTCCCTACCATTTCTAACTTTCTTGAAAACTCCAAAAATATTTGGAAGAAGACTCAACTTGTTTGAAACATAACCTGTTTCAGGTTGATAAGTTAGTGCCTCTTTGACACCCATTATTTTATTTTATGATTTGTTACACAATCATTTTACACATTCACATAATAACATATTTAACATGTATATAAAAAACTTTTCCCTACTTTTTAATCACACATTCTTCTAAAAATCACTATTCAGAACTCTTTTTTTCTACGATAATAGTTGTCTAACGGGCTCTTAATATTTATGTAAATGTTAAATTTGTAATAGTTATTTACTATACTTTTAATAATGAATGCCGGTATGAACAAGATGGAAACCTACAAGATTATGTTAATTGGGCAGCGTCAAGCCTATCAATGGGCACCGTCTCATGCTTCTAAATGGGACGAGCCGAGTACAAGTTGGCTCAATAAGAAAATCTCGACTTGACTTGTACATTTTTTTATTTTTATTAATTTTTTTCCAGCTCTTGAACTAATCGATGCGAGTCGACGAGCTGGTATTTGCAAGCCAAAGAGTAGTTCGCATGGAAAAATTCAACTTGACTCTTGAGCGGGATGAATCGAACTGACTAAGCGTTCGTCCTACTTGACATCCATTAGATTACATTGCCGCCATTTTGAGAAAACCAAAAACTACGGAGCTGTTTTCTTTATGTTTGAGTTTTGTGTTTTGAGTTCTGAATTCATTTTGGGTTGTGTTTTGAGTGTCCATTTTGAGATTTTTAAAAATATATTCTGTTTGACATTTTGAAAAATTGTTTTCAAAAATTTAAAAAAACCCAAAACGCATTTACTCTCGATATTTCCCTTCCCTCCCCTCCCCTCTCTTCTTCCCCTCTTTGTTGTCTCTCTCATTGTCTTCCTCTTCCCTCCTTTTTTTTTTTTCAGGCAGTGTTTGGGGTTGGGTGCGGTTGCGGTTGCTGCTGCGAACTGCGGGTTGGATGCGATTTTAGGAACGGAGGCGCTGCTGCGAACGCAGCGTCGCGATTTTAGGTTGGTGGTGGGTTCGATTTTGGGAACAGCGACGCTGCTACGAACGCAGCGTCGCGATTTTGGGTGTTTCCGGTTGCTGAGAATGGTGGTGAGAACGACACCGATTACTGCGAACGGTGAGTTGGGTGCGGTTGTTGAGAACGGTGCGATTTTGGGTTAGGTGAAGTCTTGGGTGTTTCCGATTTCAATTGGGTGCAGTGGTGGTTTTGTTGCGGTCTCATGCTTCGATTTGGTGGTTGGTAATGGCTGTAGTGGTGTTGTACTGCGATTTGGTGATATTCTGCTGCGGTGGTGGTTTTCGTTTCAGGCGGCAGCGGTGGTTGGTGCAGGCGGCGATGATGGTGGTTGGTGCAGGCGGCGAAGAAAATCGAAAATACTAAAAACTTGTTTTGAAATTTTTGACTTATTTTTAACTGAAAACACCCAAAACGACTTTTTCGTTTTGAGTTTTCTTTGTAAATTTTAAACTTGTTTTCGAAAATGAGTTTTCAAAAATAGGGAAGAGAATGCGTTTTCACTATTTTGAAAAATCGAAAATAGTTTGAAAACGACAAAGAGAACATGTCCTACCATTCCTTTTTCTTGGACTTTCAAATTAGATATTTTTGTCTTAAAAAATAACAATAAGAAGAGGACTTTAACGATCTTTCAAGAGTCACTTTTAGAACGAAAAAATAAATAGAATAATTAATTAAATATATTTTCCTTGTCATAGTGGCAACGATAGCCACCCCTATTAGCAAACAAGTAATTTAAAAAATAAAAAATATATTTTATTAGTTAAAATAGGTAAATTATTTATTTTTCCACCCAACTTTATACTTAGTGTCACCATAGCCATACAATTTGACTTTATTTCATTATGTTCATTCAATTTGATTTTATTTCACCATAACCATCCAATTTCATTTAACTTTTCACAATAGTCATCAATTTTCATATAACATTGCAGCACAACCACTGAATTCTTTTCATCATTTTCACTAATTTTAAAAGTGGCAAAATGGTAACTTTGTATTATATATATAAAATAAATTTGAAAAAAAAATAGAAGTTTTTTTTTTATTTTAAAAAAGTTCATTTTAAATATGTATTTATTTTATTTTATATTTCTAAGTAATTTTTTTAAAAATAAGTTTTTATTTTATTTTATATTTCTAAGTAACTTTTTTTAAAAATAAATTTTTATTTTAATTAAAAATTTTTAAATAAGTTTTTATTTTATTTTTTTAAAAAATATTATATATATATATAATGCAAAGTTATCGTTTTAATCTTTTTAAAATTAATGAAAACTGTAAAAAGAAATTGAGTGATCATGGAGGAATATTATATGAAATTGGGTGGCATGATAACATTAATTATGAAGTTGGAGGATTATGGTGAAACAAAATCAAAATAAGTGTCCTCATGAAACTAGGTGGAAAGTTGAGTGGCTATCAATTTAACCCTATTTTTAAATAGTAAAAGCTAATTTTTTACTCATTCATCAGCGAAAATTCTCTGTACAGCAAACTCTCTCCTCACCATCCAATTATATACAATTATACGCCTCTTTACTCTCTCTTCTCAGATTCTTGATTGAATACATCTGTACTCAGCCGCACTTTCTCTTGGGTGCATTCCACACAGTTATACACACTTGATCAGTTGATTGTCCCCTTTTCAGTGCATGTGCATATATACATGCAAATATATACAAATATGCACTGTATGTAAATGAGATTGCAGTCTGAGATTTGAGGTCTTTGGTGTTCTGGATTTCCTTTGGATCACGAAGTGAGGTGGGTTTTTTAATCTTTGATTTCTTTTGCATGTTTGTATTATTTTTTCTTGTTTACATGGATTATGCATTTTTTTTAGTTTCCCATTAGAATTTTCTGTAGTTATGCAAAAGTTTGCATTTATTGGTTGTTTGGTTTGATTGATGAGAGTTATTTGTTATTGTTGTTTAATAAGGTAAGGTTTCTATATAAAATGAATATGTTAGTGAGCTATTAATTTTGTTTTTTTGTTTTTTTTTTTGATAATCGTGGTTGTCCAGGCATCTTGCGCGCACTCGACTAATCCCATGAAGCCCTGAAGTTTACAGCCGGTTACTCACCTCCGTGGCCCTGGGGTTTGATTTGAAGTTGTAAGATCTGAGTCCAGACTTCCTTACTGATTTCTCACGGCTCTGTGGGTGGATTGGGTTTGGTGGGAGACTATTTAAGAATTGTAAGAGTTTATTTGGATTGTGGCACATTGAACTCTGATAGATTTCTTTCTACGATTTATAGTTTAACTGTTATAAGCAGTCATATTATTATCTATAATTTCAATCTTGAAAAAAGGCTGATGATTTTTGCTGAAAGAGTTGCATTACTTGCAAAATATAATTTCAATTGGTTATATCTTTTGGCTTTGAACAAGGCTCCAATTTGCAAATGCCGGCTATACAAATATAAAATTCTGCTGTAGGATATAACAGAGACATCTTCAATTTTTTGTTTTTGTCACGTCTCTTTTTATCTCTCTGGATTATGAATTTGTAATGTATTAGTCTGGATCTCTACATTTCATTTGTTTAAAATTTAGCCTCTTCCTTTAGGCTATCATATTCCATTTGGTCCATCCCATTATGATTAATTTAACTGTCCAGTCTAAGCGTGAACAGACACTTTCAGATATAATACCTTACGTTCTTATACATGTTGCTATTTTTATGAAACAGGACGATCATTAATTGAGCTCTTTGGGTTTTCCTTCAGCAATAATTATACACAGAGAAACCATGGATGATTCAGGAGGAGAAATCAAGGTTAGTTTTGGATATCAATGTCTCGGCAAGGATGATGGTTCTTGCCTCAAATCAAATGGCATTGACATCCCATCTGCAATCAAACTCAAAAGAGCTAGCAGCTCCTTCTCTTGCTTGTCTGGGGCTGCATTGAGTGCCAATGCTACATTAGCTAATACAAATATATGCAACGGATTGATTGGTGAAGAAATACTGCCAACTTTGGACTCTCCTAATTCTTTCCGCAGGATTTCATCTTCACCGTCTGTCTCAAAGTTGGATGTCTCAAAGTTGGATCTTTTGTCGTCTTCTCTCCTGAGTGGCATGTCAAACTTGAGTTTTAGCCTGTCCTCTCAAAGTGAGACACCAGGTTCAGACTCATATTTGCTTAAGTCCATGAGTTCTCCTTCAACAAGTGATAGTTTCCTCAATGCGGTGGAAGTACAAGTAGCTGGGGGTGCTGCTGGTGAAGATAGAGTTCAGGCTGTTTGTTCAGAAGAGAATGGGTGGCTTTTTTGTGCCATATATGATGGCTTCAATGGAAGAGATGCAGCAGATTTTCTTGCTGGAACCTTATATGAAACAATTGGATTTTACCTGAACTTATTAGATTGGGAAGTTAAACAGGAGTTGAGGAAAGCTTCCGGTTGTTTGGATTCTGATAAATCCCTCTGCTGTATTCTGGAAGATGGTAATAATTCTGAAAATGTAGGAAAAAATGCATTTTTTGATAGTTTTGACATTACTCCTTCCTCAGTGAAAGTGGACAGATCGTTTGGTTTGTCTAAGAAGAGGGTTCTTAACAGCCTTCAACGTGCTCTTACACAAACTGAGAATGATTTTCTACACATGGTGGAACAGGAAATGGAAGACCGCCCTGATTTAGTGTCTATTGGATCTTGTGTGTTGCTTGTGCTTCTCCATGGGAAGGACTTGTATATTCTCAATGTTGGTGATAGTCGAACTGTTTTAGCTACATACATTGAAGGCATAGAGATGAATGGAAGTGAGGGGCCGCAGGCTGTCCAGCTCACTGATAGTCATACTGTTGACAATGAAGTTGAGAGAACCCGACTTCTACTTGATCATCCAGATGACCCTTCGACAATTGTGGCTGGAAAAGTCAAAGGGAAGTTGAAGGTTACAAGGGCTTTTGGAGTTGGTTACTTGAAAAAGGTAGGCAACAATCTGCTTATTATAACAACTGTAAATAGGAAGTTACTGCAATTCTTGATTCTAAAAAGATTTTGAGTTCATTGGTAATGGTTGAAATTATAATTCTCTTATTTTCATAATAACTGATCTAGTTAGTTGTGCAGAAAACCATGAATGACGCTTTGATGGGTATTCTACGAGTCCATAATCTCACAAGTCCTCCATATGTATCTTTAGAACCATCGCTTCATGTACATGAAGTTTCAAGTTCTGATCACTTTGTTGTACTTGGAAGCGATGGTCTATTTGACTTCTTCAGCAATGATGAAGTTGTAAAACTCGTGCATTCCTTCATTTTGAGTAACCCATCTGGTGATCCAGCAAAATTTTTAGTAGAGCAGCTTGTAATGAGGGCTGCAGATTGTGCAGGTATGAGCTAACTTCTGTTGTATTTCATTTCTTTCACCCAGTGTAAGACTTTAAGTCATAGAGCATGTTTGGCTAAGACTAAAAAAAGAAATAGTACTTAATAGTATTTTTTAAGATTAGACAAAAATATGTTCTTGCTCTTACATTTGAAAAAATTAAGTTTTGAACTTAAAATAACTTCTTAATAGGCTAAATATGTTTCACAGGAAAAGTTATAAGTTAGTAAACACATGTTTGGCTAAGCCTAAAACTTACTTTTACTTCTTTAAAGTCTTGGCCAAACCTGCTTAATTCGCCTTTTAGTTGATACTGCCAAGCAGCATGATGTCTGTGATGCTGACAATTTATCAAAAATCTTTCATTTGGTCTACTTCCTCTTATAGTTTATTTAATTCAGGCTCCACATATAAAATAGTATGCTATAGGTATTTTTGCAATGTAAAATAATTAAAAGTTAAATTATTATATAATCTATATTTATCGGTTTAATTATTGGCCAACTTTATATTTGCATATGTCAAAAGAATTGTCCTTTTCGAGGATTGACTTTAGCCTAAAAAATTCATTGTACGCTTGTGCCATCAGTTTTGGTAGATTAGATCGTTGTTTTTGCCACTTGCACGATTATTTACTGATTTAAAATTTTTTTTTTTATCTAGTGAAATCATCAGAAATAATATAGAAAATGCAGATTTCAATAGCTCATCTATGTCCGTTTAATATTTGACCAACTTACTACGACCGCAGATTTTAGTATTAACTATACTTTTGGCACTGCAGGTTTCAGCATAGAAGAGTTGATGAGTATCCCTGCTGGCAGGAGACGGAAATATCATGACGATGTTACAGTAATTGTGATCATCCTTGGCTCGAACAAGAGCACCTCAAAGGCGTCCACTTGTCTATGAATCCCCGACGCCAAAGGGTAAAAGTACCTACAAGTTTTTTGCTTCAAAATTCTGTTCCTCAAGTTTGCAGTCACTGTTAGGGACCATATATATCTTGTTTATTTATTTTCACAAACATTTACATCTTGACCTGTGAATAGAATCTGCCCTTTACTTTTGTTCATATTTTGTTATAATGCAATATTTTCTAAACCATAAGGAGACTTTTCTTCTGCGAGTTAGTATGGGGATAAAAATCCCTTCCCGATTCTCACTTTCTTTTCATTTCTTGCTCTCTGCGGTGAAAATCCTAGATGAATGTTAGTTTTGTGGAGTCTAATTGAACTATACAGTTTTCATCTCGACTGTGGATTGACATAATTTTCTAGGTGCATTTTGAATTCAGGAGTATAATAGGCATTCTACACGAGCAATAGGTCACCCCAATATTCCTACTTATATGTGAGACAAAAGGTGAGATCACTATCTCCATCTTCTTCTTCCTCATCGTGGAAACCTACGAGAAGTGGATATGTGAATGTAATTCTCACATTGAGGGCGAACTAATGTAAATTTTTATATTTGTTCGTGTCGTTTCTGATATAATCCATAAGAATGAGTCGTCAAAATGCTTAGACAAGAAGTTCACTGGATTTGCTAGAATCTTTTGATAGAAAAACAAGATAATTTCAAAAAGAAAAGGGTTGTGTTCCCATGAACTAATCACTTTTCATAAGATGAACGAACATGGTAATATCTAGATTTGACATAAGTGGTTCAACATTTTTGCTTTTTCTTTTTCTTGATTCTCCTTGGTGGTGCTCACCTTTTTAGCCTCTTGATCTTTCAAGATTTTGGAAAGTAAAACAGGTGTCAACTTTTGGGATGTCTGGTATACTAAATTATACAGGTCAATATAAGATTAATGGAGGAAAAAATGGTAAAATTATATCCATGCGACTTATATATATTTATTTTTTATTATTTTTTTTTTGTTAACGTAAGAACTCGCAGTCGCCGCCCGTCGCGGAGCCCCGTCCACTCCAAAGGGGCGGAAGCCCGATCACTGTGAGTGCGCAGTAGGTAAATCTCGTTTCATGTGCAATAACACGGAAACCACACGGAAGAAGTAAACCGCACTCAGGGCCGGTTCTGTGATTTTTGGGGCCTGAGGCGAAAATACGAGGGGTGGAGGGGGGCGGGCCCCCTCCCGAGGGTTAGGGGCGGAGCCCCCGAAATTTTTTTTTAACTAAGAGGATTGAAAACGACGATTTTGAGTACAAAAATAGGAAAGTTAAATGGATAATAGAATTATATATGCCGACAAAACTTCAATTATATAAGCCGACGAGACTTCAAGCATTTTCAATATATTCAATATCAAGTTAGGGCAAGCCATTGCTTATTTGAGAAGTAGAAAATCGACAAAAATTATGGAATCACACCCTATTCCACCATCGCATCTCACAAGCTTGAAATCAAAAGTTCACATTAACCACGGCACCATCACTTTTTAAGCTACGGAATTTACCTTTTTTAATCAATAAAATGGTTAAACCACATGGAATTGGGAATTAGGTTATTAAATGGAAAGTTTAAAGAAACAATGAATGCACTAACTTAAGGAGACCGACCATATTTGCAAATTAATTGTGATATAAACGTGTTTTGGAAGATTAAGAAGCAATATATAAATCATTTATACCACTAAAACTAATTGAACAGCAACAATTATATAAAATAAGAACACAAGTAACCTTCTTTTCTCTGTGCTGAAAGGAAGATTGGCAAAAATAAAAAGGTTGACATTCGCTTCAGCCTTCATATATATCTAAAAGAAACATCAGCTTCATACAAAAATCTTATCAAAGTTTATGGCTATTGAATTTTTTATAACAGCCAAAAATAATTCCAAATTCTGTATCTACCAGTGATCAGATTATTCACAAAATAATAAACCAAAACTAATGAAAAGAATAGCACTCTAGACATTTTAGTCAAATTAGATTGCTTAAATAAACAAATATATGATACCATGTTGAGCAAATAACTCGAGAATAATTTAAAAATTTTAAAAATATCTGACGATAAATTCAAAACCCACTAAAGAGTAACCCCAGATCTGGAGAAAGGATTTTCAAATAAGTAAAATAGTATGAAATGGGCAATCAAATTATTAGAGTAATTGCCAAAAATATAAAAACAGAGCTACACGTCTAACATGATTATCTAAAAGTTCTAGTGTGAGTGAGTGGGTGGGTGTGTGTGTGTCTGTAGAAGAGAAAAAGAAGCTTACTGAGTGCAGCAGCAGAGTCTGAACTTTGAGAGAAGGAAGGGAACATGCCTAACTTCAAAAAAAAAAAAAAAAATGGGGGGCCGAAAAATGAGGCCCCCTCTACTTTTGGGCCTGAGGCGATGGCCTCACTTGCCTCGGCCCAAAACCGGCCCTGACCGCACTAAGCAAACCCTATGCGATGGATTCGATCGAGAAAATGTTGGCAGAGAATTCGAACTCGTGAAGGGGTTATCCATGCTACTACATTATCTATTATCAATGTTGTGGACCAAACTAACCATTTGTTTATGGCTTTTTTATCTTATTAGGCCACTATCAGTTTTTTTGCTCACTTATAAATTTTCAGGATATGCTCAACATCCCATGTTCTTTTCCTCTTCATCCAGAAAATGTTAGATTTTTCTACTTTTAACATGCTTTAAAAAAGTGAATTGGACGGTACTAGAAAATTAATTAAAATCTTTAGTCATATCCCACTCTTTAACTGCCAAACATTTCATCTCCAATAATCATTTGGGACAAACAATTGCATCTACATATCACTTGCAACATAGTCGATAAAAAAAATGAAATTTAACATTAATAATTAATCTGAACTCAGAAAATCTAAGCAAGACACATTTGTTCCATTTTCTAGATTTTTATCCCCCGTGAATTGGCTTTTCCGGACGCATGAAAATCAAGGTTTAAGATGATGATGGGTACTTGTGTTAAGAATATTGAGCCTAACTCCACCTAATAAAATCGGCTTATTAGGGGAGGATTGTCCTCACCTTATTAAGTGGATTATTAATATTTTCCCAAACAATGTGGGATTCTAATAATAGCGTTAAATTGAAAAAAGGAGGCAAAGCAGAACTTGTGTAGTTGACCTCAAGTTAATTTGAAATGAGCTTTAACTTGTTACTTATGAATAACATTAGAAATTATTCTTGCAAAAAGGAAATCAACTCCAGAATTTATTGACAAGTTCAATGGATAATACATATCTAGGATGTTGCAAGAATGAAAAGGTAAAGCTTACGCGAGTCATGACATCAGCATTAGGATTCCAGTTGTTGAAATCTCCAATAAGCGTCGCCCACTGCANAAATTTCACATTGGTCATTGAACTTCATTTTGTTTGAATTTAAACAGTTTTACAATTCGATCACTACATTCATGTTAGTCTAAATTAACAAACAATGACAAAACGATAAGCAAATTTTTTTTTTTTGAATTTCTTGGGTTTCCTTTTGCACTGAATTGAAACTTTCAAAACCTATGTCTGAAAAACTGAGACACACTCCTCTTTTCAAAATCATTATCATTATGACTTATTGGCACAAAACCTCCCAATATATGACTTATAGCCAAATATCTGCACCTTTTCAAATTAGCGAAAAACTCTTTGCATGAACTTTGAAGTGCGGCATTCCGTTTTGTTTCCCATCCCAGTCTTTCGCAACACTTCAGGTTTACTTCTTTTGTTAGGTCCCTGAAATGGAACTTTCATGTTGGAGCAAGAACTAGCATGAAAGTCAATCTATTACGATCAGCACGGTTGTTGAAGAAGTAAAAATGGCAAAAATTAAAAAGAAATAATTTTTCCCAAAAGCTGGCACCAAAGGTTTAAATCTTATATTTTTTAGTTCATCTTTTTATTATATCAATTTGTCCATTAAAATAGGAATCAATATTCACAAAAATAAAGATAAAAAATAAACTTTTTGAAATAAAATAATTTTTTTTCTAAATTATAATTAAAGAAAAAACAAATAAAAAAGCAAATAACATAAAAAGAAGGACAAAATGGGAAAGTTATGTTAGGGAATTTTGTAGCGGAGGTCACATTCCTTTCAACAATGTGAAACACGGTCTCAATCATTTATATCGTAGCAGTTACATCCCAAATCTTTCAACAAATGTGCACTAAAAGGGCCTCTAATGGTTTTCATTAAAAAATTGTTTAGGACATAGTTGCTACGATTTAAATGTTTGGGCTTGCATTACACATTTTTGAAAAGTTTGAGATCTTATTTGTTCCTTTTTAAAATTTGCAAAATCATAATAAATACGAAAATTTGACAAAATATTTGTCCCCACACTTTAAACACGTTAATAGAATATTTTGAAAGAAATCGAACCATGTTAATAAGACAATGAGAAAATGTTGAAGATATTGCAAAAAAATGTGTTGCAAAAAAATAAATTTAATGTGAATATAACTGCGGTTAGAAATTGAACCATGTTTTGTTATCAAAATTACTAGAAAATTTCAATTTTTCATATTTAAATACAATGTATTGCAACATGGTATGTTACATTGTAAACACAATGTGTTGCAACGTATCATAAAATGTTATATTAGTTGTAAGATATTACGTTATAAGGTGACACAACATGCTATATTCTCAATACAAAATATGCAAAAGAATCATTTACACAAAAAGTTGATAGGAATATACTTCGACATAAAATTCACACAAAGCAACACCACAAAAATGAATAATTAAAAATTACGAAGCACATTTAACTTGTGGATTGTGTCACTTGTTATAGGCAATGCAACACGGTTTGTTACATTGTTACAACAAAGAATTAGCCCCTGTTTGTTTCGCATTTTAAGTAGAATTTGGACCGTTGTGAAGGGGTCTCAGTCGCAATTTTTTACCCATCTCTCTCTAGGTGGGACCCACAAATTTGAAAAAAAAGTTCCAAAAATTCATTTTGATATTAAAATAAT